ACGGTAACCTGGTTGCCGAGTTCACGAAGTGAATTGGCTTGTTTTACAACGTCGTTGCCAAGCGACGAAAACCCAATCCCGATGGCAAACACCGGGGGGGGCAGCTTGTTTTACAACGTCGTTGCCAAGCGACGAAAACCCAACCCCGATGGCAAACACCGGGGGGGGGCACAGAAGGGTAGGGCGGTATTGAAACCATACGTTCGTCGTTTGGTTAATTTTTTTCGAGCGATGACCCTCTCATAATAGATCGCTGCTTCACAACTTTTACAGCAATGATGGCTGTCCCACAACGGGCCTATATAGCTGCCGTTTAGAGCAAAACCCCATATTCTTCCGGGGGGGTTGATGGCATTCGATTTGCCGGCAGTCAGAGAAAGAGGCCCGCCATACGCGATGGAGTATTTTTGGTACCACAGCGATCCATCACTTACCAGGGGGACTGGCGTCGCGGAAGCTACCATCACTGTCGAGGGTGATCCTGCCACCGCGAATGACGTCCTCTTGATCTCGAACAAGTGTTGAGCCAGCTGAGCCGTCGTCGGATAAGCCCAGGGTGGATGCATTCCACCGCCGGTGAGCCGTAAAAACCGGGTGATAGGGGGCAACGCACAGCGGTGGTATTCGCATGAGGTTGGAGGGGCTCGGGGTCGTGATGAAGAATAAAGTGATCAATAGCAACGCCGTCGGAGGCAGACGTTGTTCAACAAACCACTGTTTTGGGCCGTGGTTCACGCGAGAGACAGCCGCTCGGGTTGCCCGTAGGCAAAGCACGCGTACTAGGGGGAGCGAGGAATGAATCTTCAGCCCCGAGGCTTTGGAGCTGGCGTGGGGGTGGAATCCCCCTTTTTCTGTGATCCCCGTGTTCGACTATGCTGTCGCTTCTCTCCTCCTTGGCGAGTATCGCTTGCAGGTGTCTTTACCGACTGAAGGTTGGAGAAGAGGATGCACGTACGATAGCAATTTACGGTCCCACCACAACGGCGATAGCACAAGGGTAGAGGAGGGTTAGGCAGTATGCAACAATTTGCGGCAACAACTCGCGGCAGCGGCAGTAACCTTACCGACAACAGTATTACCCACGACAGCAGCGCCTTGCCTGCCTGACCACCCTCTCTCGACCACGGCGAAGCTCCAAGAAGAGTGAATTCACCTGTAGTGAAGCACCGAGAAAAGTGACTTCACCTGTGGGGCAAGCGAGACCGTCGCTGGTCAGGGACGTCACCGTCGCCGGTAGCGGCGTTGGCGGGGACGACGCCATGCCTAACGGCGCCGCCAGCAACATGCCCGCCGGCAGGAGCTCTTCGGCTGTGGCCAGACCCTGACGAATCCTGCGGTAGAGGTCGAGCCTAGCCACCAACGGAGCCCCGAACGGCGAGGACGAATTCCCGCATACTACGCCAGGTCCGTCGTTGTAATAACCTGATCTGCCGCCGATGTCGGCGTTGCCGGGACTTGTGCCTAATGGCTTGTATTCCGCACCCTCAGCCTGCCGTGTTTCGCGTTATGGCAACCAGAAGTGGGAGGAAACGCGATTGCGCGCGTGCTTTGGTTCGAAGAGTTTCAAGAGATAACAAGGCGGGAAGGTACAGGGCAAATACTTTTCCTGGCTGCCTGTTCATTGTTGCCCTTCATTCAATACAGTGCATGAGGCAGGCAAAGTTGAAATTCGTACAATGCAACAGCAATCCATCCACACGGGACTTTCGCAGCCTGTTTCGGCTTTCGGAGACCACGCCCATTCTGAAGCTTGCGGATACTTTTGTTTTTCACCTCTGTCCTACGCCCTTGTTTGGTCATTCGCTGCTAGGCCAAAGAGAAACAAGCGAGGATTAGGCATTGAGTCGTGAAGTACTGTAATGGATGAATGCACGCATATACTGACGTTCCGCTGCTGCCGGCCCGCGGAGGATGCAGACGAAGAAGAAGTACCAACCCGACCTCCTCCGGCGAGGACCTTGTGCGGCTGCCCCGCGGTCTCCTTCGACAAGAACGCGATCTGTTTGGCGATCACTTCCATTCTGAAACGATAATGGTTGGTTTTTGATATGTTATCCATCCGTTGTATCTGAGTATTTCATTCTCGTTCTACATACGTGGGTATGAAACTGTCAAATAATGACAGCCTATCTTACTCTGCAGGTGCCCAATGATGGTTCGCTTTCAGAATACATATACGTTATGGCATGCATCGATCCGTTCGAAAATATTTATCATGTGGCGAACACATCGCGAGTCGTTTTGGGAAAAGCAGCCCACCCCCAAATGTTAATGAATTCTTGATCACACTCGCTCCACTCCGTCCATATTAAGCGTACAACTGAACCAATTGCCCGCGGCCTAGAACCTTCTTCGTAAGAACCCAGCAGCGCCATGTGTGATGCATGGACAAGAAAACCTGCACTAAAGAGTGATTGTCCTGTCCGTAGCACGCCACCCGAGGTTTTGATTCCCAAATTTCATATTGCCCCTCTTGTTCCGCCTGGTTCTCAGTGCCGATCGATTGGAATGATAAGTGAGTATGGTAAGACCTCCTTCGGCGACCGGTGGTGCCGCGACAATTTTGTTGTCGGGTCTCTGACTGCCGGTCAAGGGCCGCAGTATATATGTGGAGACTCGCCCCAGTGGGACATACGAGCAACAGCGAATGAATTGTGCGCTTTGAAATGCAGAGATCGATACTGCATCCGTTGTAGCTGCGAAATGCCCGAAAACTGTGGTGAATGATCGATATCAGGCACCCTACCTGAGCTAGACTTGGTGAGGAAAGAGGTACGACTCTATGCTGGTGAGTTGTGTCGTTCTCGCACGTAGTGTTAGCTGCAGAATTGGGAGACTATAATGTAGGCTACTCCTGTAGCAATGGAATGTGTAGATAGATGGACTGCAGAATAACACACGGCAGCAGCAACGGTGACAGCAGCAGCAGGAGCGGCAGCAGCATCAGCGGAAGCACATCAGCTGCAACAGCGCACAGAGGGATTCACAGCTGACCATGAATATTCCGAGACGCGCCACCCGGCCTTGGCAAGGCACTTGTTACCTGACGATGATGTGGCGCGAGATAGTCTCCATCTCATGGCCGCCGTTTCCAATTCCACCTGCTGAAGTCGACGTCTCGGTGAAGGGCGATTCCGTCTGCGTAGTAGGTTGAAAACATCGCACCCACGCGTGCGGACAGGGTCGCCTTGGATCATACTGGGTGAGAGGACGGCGGTAGTCTCGGTACATACACGAGTGAATGATTTGCGAGTGTGTGCACGCCAGAAACCAACGAGACAAGCCGATATGCTGCCGGTTACGAGCTGGACGATCAATGCAATGCACAACAAATAGGGCCTTGCTACATTCTACTGCTTCCCGGTCAGGCTTACAAAGATGATCAACAACAGGCGTGTGTGCGCCTACCCTTTCAAGCGGCGAGTAAGTGAGTCCCACTCATCCAACGCAGCGAGAACTTCCGCTACCCATTTCCGAACAAACAAACAAACAAACCGCGTCATCCATAACACACGTCTCCAACAATTTCTCTGGAATCTCTGAACACCTCGCGTTTCCAACTTTGTTTCATTCACGGCTGTGTCGAATGGCGGCGCAATCGCCAGAAAACTCGTGTCCTTGGCGTTGTTGATGTTCACAATTCAAATGAGTGAAAAATTGTCGCTCACGGCAGCAGCACCGAAACCGGCCTGTTCTGAACGCGTGTTGTGCTGGCGGGAGCTCCTCGGGCAATCGTTCCTACCTCACACATTCAAGCGATGACCAAGTAAGGCAGTGCAGCTCTATGCACGCGTGCCTGCAGAAAGAGAGCCAAGGCAAACGCACGCACACAGCTAGGTGTAGACTACTATTGACTACTGATGATGTACGGCAACACAGCATACCCTACTTCACTTCATTTCCCTCTCTCGTGCACATACCAGAGCAGTGAACTTTTGATCGAAAGGGTTCTTCGCCACACGCTTGCGCTCGACATCTTCCTCAACGGCATCTAGTCCTGCCTCCATTGAGCTCTGCGTGTCTTCAGGTTCTTCGCGAACGTTCCTTCCATGTATGTCCAGTTCTGCCCGCTCTCTCTTGGGGGAGTCCGCGGAGTAGATATTGTAAAAACAGGTACCATCGATAACAGTGAACCCGGATATTTGAAATTGACGCAACACCAACAAGTCTCGAGCGTGTGAGTGTGAGAGGTATGGTCCAGGGCAGGGTTGGTCAACCGCTGGCAGTGTAGGTGGAAGCTTCTTTGAGTGCCCACCAGCGGATAGCCGGTTGCACTCATTCGCTTCAGCAGTAGAGCGATGAAGTTTGCATGCAGTCGGAACTGCCCGACCGCCTCCACCTACTGCCTGTTGTTGGTGTGCCGTTACGTTGTAGTGACACTCGACAATCGTGCACTACTCTGGCCAATGCGTCTTCCCCCTACATCGTAATCTCCACTTCAGGCTCATAGATCGAGATTCTGTGATCCCAAGCGACAACCAACCCTATTCGCGTTCTCCGAGGTCCAGAACGGTCGCGTAGGACGCATTACTGAAAGTCTAGTATACGAGCTGGTCGAGTCTTACCAAGAAGCGGATGTGCAGGTTGGAGTGGATTTCACACGCGATGTTTTCGAATTAGAACATGAAATTTTGACACGCCATTACTCTCCCTTCTTCCCCTCGCTCCTCGACAAGCTTTTGCTTAGACATGGGTTGTCGCGAAGGGGGGGGTCTTTCTGGCGAGCAGGGCTAGACTCATCCTCAAGGGATGACCGAGACCTTCTTGCTGCTGCGCATCCGCCGCGAGGCGTGCGTGTGGTGGTGTTGGGTCGGCACTGATGGGGTCAGGCGGGAAAATGTAGATGCGCGGGCCTCTGGCCGTCGGCGTAGGCAGCGATGCCCATCTCATTTTTTGTGCGCGGAGGCAGAC